GTGTAAATTAGTTCAACCATTGTGGAAGACAGTGTGGCAATTCCTCAAGGATCTAGAACTAGAAATACCATTTGACCCAGCCATCCCATTACTGAGGATATACCCAAAGGATTATAAATCATTCCACTATAAAGATGTATACACACGTATGTTTATTGTGGCGCTATTCACAATAGCAAAGACTTGTAACCAACCAAAATGTCCATCAATGATAGACTGGATAAAGAAATATACACCATGGAATACTATGCAGCCATAAAAATGGATGCGTTCATGTCCTTTGCAGGGACATGGATGAAGCTAGAAACCATCAATCTCAGCAAACTAACACAGGAACAGAAAAGCAAACACCACATGTTCTCACTCATAAGTGGGAGCTGAACAATGAGAACACATGGACACAGGGCCAGGGGGAAACATCACACACTGGGCCTGTCGGGGGTTGGGGGGTTGGGGAGGGATAACATCAGGAGAAATACCTAATGTAGGTGACATGTTGATAGATGCAGCAAACCACCATGGCATGTGTATACCTATGTAACAAAACTGCATGTTCCACACATGTACCCCAAAACTTAAAGTACAATTAAAAAAAGAAGAAAAAAAAAAAAGAAAAACACTTTTGTGGTATAAGTCAAGTCATGGGAGAAAATATTTGCAAATTATTTATTGGATAAAAGACTTATATCCAGAATATATAAAGAATTCTTACACCTCAACAATAAAAAGACTCAATTTAAAAAATGAGCAAAAAATCTGAATAGGGATTTCCCCAAATGTGATATACAAATATCCAATAAGCACATGAAAAGATGCTTAATATCATTAGCCATTAGGGAAATGAAATTAAAATCCCAGTGAGATATTTCACACTCACTTGGATGGCTATAATGAAAAACACACAAATGTTGGCATCGATATGGAGAAATCAGTACTCTCATATACTGGGAATGGAAAATGGTATAGCTAGTTTGGAAAACAACCTGGTAGTTCTTCAAAGGGTTAAACAAAAGATGCAGCAATTCCATTCCTAGGGGTTTACCCAAGAGAAAGGGAAACATATGTCCATGCAAAAACTTGTATGTGAATGTTCAGAGAAGCATTATACATAATAACTAAAAATGGTTTAAAATCTAGGTTGTTTTACCTAAATGTCCATCAACTGATACACGGATAAATAAAATGTATTATATCCATAGAATAGAATTTTATTCAGTTATAAAAAGGAATAATGTACTGATACATGCTACAATATGGATAAACCTTGAAATCTTTATGCTAATGGAAAAAGCCAGTCACACGCAAAAAGCACACATTGTATGATCTCATTTACATAAAATGTCCAGAATTTTACATTCAGGCAATCTGTAGAGATAGCAAGTAGATCAGTGGTTGCTGAGGACTGGGAGACAGGGAGGGGATGATAATGGGTATTGTGTTTCTTTTTAGGGTAGTGATGGTTGCAATAAGGCTTAAAAAAAGGGTACTAGGTCTATTACAATTATAAATTGGTATAAAGATTGATGCCATCACTACCTACACATATCCAATGTCGTCCTGGTTATTTCTGGTTTTCACTGATTACCACCTCCCAAGGCAAGACCCCTAAACATCTGCCTGCAGCAATGACGCGTTAGAAGCACTGCACACACGATTTGGTTATTGTTTGCTGCTTTGTATCATCTCATGCCTACCAGTTCCTCCTCCCCTCTCCCAAACTTCAAAGTTATCAATTTTCTGACCAATATGATGTGCAATGGTAGATTTCTAAAGTTGCTTTAAGAAAAAGTCACTTTTTTCACTTGGCTTAATGTATCTCTCAGTTGACATACTGTGGCTTCTCATAGTAATTTCTATTCATGGCCCTGCTATTGAAAAATCAAAAATGTTTCAAAAAAACAAAATTCTTTGTGTAGGTGCAAAACACAATTAAATATTCTATAAGTATATCAACATAACCAAAAACAGTGACTTACAGTGATTTCTATTCATGGCCCTGCTATTGAAAAGATTTCCTTGCATCGGGGGCAAATAAATTAAATATTTATAAGTATATCAAAATAACCCAAAACAGTACCTTACAGATGTAAATTAAGTCAGTAAGAATGAGATTCAAACCAAATTTGCCACTTGCCTGAAATGTCTTTCTATATGTATATGTCTGTATATTTTAATAGAAATTTTATTACTCAAACATTTTATAAAAGAAGATAAAACAAAACAAGGGAGTCTTCTGATCTAAAAATGCTTTTTCAGAATATATAACACATTTTCAGTTGTTTCTGATAATATAATGTATATCAAAGGGTACAATTTCAATTTCTGTACTGGGTGTGGTCTCCATTGCTCAATACAAGACGATTGTTTCTTCAGTCACTTTCAGGTGAAGCCTCAGAACTTTCCAGCTAGTTTCTCTCCATTTTAATTCAAGGGTAGTTAAGGGTCATTAGAGAAAAGGCTTGGGCCAACTAAGTCCTACTATGATGAACTTATCCTCACCTGGTAAACCAAGTCTTTATTGCTTGGTAGTTTAATTTTCATTAACCCTTCTGCAAACCATAAACATTTCAGGAAAACAGTGGTAACCCCACAAAATAGATGGGTTAGAGAGCAAAGGAGAAGCCTATTTTTAAAACAGACAGAAACTAATTTAGTTTCTTTTCCTTCCCTACCCCTGGTTATCATTGTCCTGTGCCCCTTATCAAACCCTCTTTAGAGTAAATGTATGCTTTTGATGCTCTATGGCCATGGAAAGGTTTTCCTAATTCCAAAATGTCTATGATTTTCAGGACATTTCTGAGCATCTTTCCAAATTGGTCTTGTTTCCTCTATACTGGACTCTGTTTTAAAAAAACTCATATCAATCATATTTTGAATTCGTGGTATTTAGCCCACATTCCAAATATTCGATCCCATTGTCAGACCATGTATCTCATTTTTCTTTTCTTTTCATTTTTAAATTTTTTGAGACGGAGTCTTGAGTCTTGCTCTGTTGCCCTGGCTGGAGTGCAGTGACATGATCTTGGCTCACTGCAACCTCTGCCTCCTGGGTTCAAGTGATTCTCCTGCCTCAGATTCCCAAGTAACTAGGCACATGTCACCACACCTGGCTAATTTTTGTATTTTTAGTAGAGACGGTGGCGAACTCCTGACCTCTGGTGATCCACCCGCCTCAGCCTCCCAAAGTGCTGGGATTACAAGCGTGAGGCATTACACCTGGCCATGTGTCTCATTTTTCTAATGCTTATCATATGTGAGCCAATATAACCCAAGTCAGGGTTATAAACCCAAAGGTGCAACACTAATAGAAGAGTGATTCAGTTCTCTGCTCATCTCACATAGTCAGTGGAAACATAAAGTAAGTATTGAAGACTTATATGGGATGGTGATCATTTTTAGTTGGTCTTGAGTTGCTGGATGGAAGAGTGGTAAGTCTTGAATTGCTAGAGGAAAGAGTGGTAAAAGAAAATTGATATGGTTTGGCTCTGTGTCCTCATCCAAATCTCATGTTGAATTATGATCTTCAGTGTTGGAGGAGGGGCCTGGTGGGAGGTGACTGGATCATGGAGGCAAACTTCCCCCTTGCTGTTCTTGTGATAGTGAGTGAGCTCTCGTGAGATCTGGTTGTTCAAAAGTGTGTAGCAACTCCTCCTTCACTCTCTGTCCTGCTCCATTATAGTAAAATCTGCTTGTTTCCCATTCGCCTCTGACATGATTGTAAGTTTCCTGAGGCTGCCCAGCCATGCTTTCTGTACAGCCTGCGGAACTGTGACTCAAAACTCTTTTCTTCATAAATTACCTAGTTTCAGGTAGTTCTTTATAGGAGTGTGGGAACAAACAAATTCAGAAAATTATTTTCTGCCATTTAACTTTAAACTCTAAAGGTATGTTAACGGCAGAGCAGAGACACAAAAACTGTCTTGGTATTTATGTAAGTTATGTTAGGTATGTCATTATACTTTCATGTATTGATAGACATGTACTTTGAAGAACTATGGCTTGATAATTATGTTATAATGAAGCACAAAAACAAATAGAGAAAACTGGCAGATTTACAACTTACTTTCATAAGTTATTCCCAACGTGACCCATGAAGCCATATAATTGAAGTACAGAAGTTGCTCAAGAACAAAGTTATTCTCCTTTTCATCTCGAATACTCAGAATTTGTGATTTTGGATCTGTTAAATAAAAAAGTCAATAATTTTAATAATTACTTATCTAGAACACTTTGATAGGTTTAAAACATTTTAATTCTCACTTTAATATACTTCAAACTTAAACAATATCGGACAATTAGAAAGATACGTAAAATAAAATTATGCCATTGTACTAATAGGTTAAGGAGTTTTCAAATGTTTGATGTTAAATTTGGTCTTATGGTAAAATAGAAAACTAGTAGCTGAATAGAGAATTTAAAACATTGATTCACTTCACATTCCCCTATTTAAAGGTGATTTTCGGTTGGTATAAATCACCCATAGTAATGATAGACTGTCAAAGATTACTCTAGAATAATTAAAACCTCTTAGATGAACTATAACAGGGGTCCCCAACCCCCGGGCCACAGACTGGTACTGTTAGGAACCAGGCCTGTTAGGAACTGGGCCGTGCAGCAGGAGGTGGGCAGCAGGCAAGCGAGCATCACCACTTGAGTTCTGCCTCCTGTTAGAGCAGAGTGGCATTAGATTGACAGAGGAGCACAAACTGTCTTGTGAACTATGCATGCGAGGGATCTAGCATGCACACTCCTTATGAGAATCTAACTAAGGTCTGATGATCTGAGGTGGAACAGTTTCATCCTGAAACCATCCACCCCTCCCTGGCAGTGCCAAAAAGGTTGGGGACTGCTGACCTATATGACAGATCTTCCTTTTCCTTAGTTATCAGTATGAGGGTTAAAAGGCTTAATATTTCCCAAAGGGTATTCCTCACAAAATTAACAAGGAGGTTCCAGAAAAGATCTACATGGATTTTTAAAAAAGTTTGCAAACATTGGTTTAAACAAAGTTAAAGTCGTTTATTTATGCCAGTATTTCTTAAGGTATATGTTAATGTACATTTGTTAATGCCCAACAGGAAGCTATGGTGTCTAGTGTTTCTCAATCTTTTTCTTTTTTGTTGGTTATTTTTTTCAACCTTATTCTAAGGATTTTTTGCAGAACATCTCTCAAGACTAATGTTATATAGAGCATGCTTTGGGAAATAATGGTTTGATATTTTCTATAGCAACTTTCACTAAGTTCCTTGTTCCATTGGTTCCAACAGTTCCATCATTCGGAAGTCACAAATCCTTAGTGGATCTCATAGGAATTATCTGAAGACTCTTGAGAGCTGAAAGTGTGAAATGTGCACATCTTTAAGCTTAGCTGCTGCTTTGTGGTGTGTCTAAGCTTTTGACTGCTCCAACTAACCTATTTTCACTTCCTCTCTTGTGTGCCATTTCTTTCCCCCTTCCTTTTTTTTGGAGATAGGGTCTCCCGTCATCCAGGCTGGAGTGCAGATGGTGTAATCACAGCTCACTGCAGCTTCAACCTCTTGGGCTCAATCATCCTCCCTCCTTAGCCTCCCAAGTAGCTAGAACTACAGGCATGTGCCATCATGCTTTTAATTTTTTGCAGAGAAAAAGTCTCACTATGTTGCCCAGGCTGATCTTGAATGCCTGGCATCAAACCATCCTCCCACTTCAGCCTCCCAAAGAATTCGGATTACAGGCATGAGCCAATGTGCCTAGCCCATTTCTTTTCCTTTTAAAGAAGAACCCACCTTCCTTACAAACATAGACTAGTTCTTGAATGGATGAGTAAAGAAAGGAGTTATGCCTATACTTTCCACTTTAACTAACACAAATTTTAATACTTTGTCACTGATAATGTAGATATTAGGAGATGAAGATTTTTGACATCTAGTTACTAGTGCTAATTAGAAATATTTATAACACAGAAAATTTTTTTTAATTAGCAAAATACAATAAGTAATGACAGTACAATATACTTGATATGGTTTGGCTGTGTCCCCATCCAAATCTCATGTTGAATTGCAGCTCCCATAATCCCCAAGTGTCATCGGAGGGACCCGGCGAACTGAATCATGAGAGTGGGTCTTTCCCGTGCTATTCTCATGATAGTAAGTCTCACGAGATCTGATGGTTTTATTAAGGGCAGTTCCCCTGCACATGCTCTCTTGCCTGCTGCCATGTAAACATACCTTTGCTTCTCCTTCGCCTTCTGCCATGATTGTGAGGCCTCCCCAGCCATGTGGAACTGTGAGGCCATTAAACCTCTTTTTCTATATTAATTACCCAGTCTCGGGTATGTCCTTATAGCAACGTGAGAATGGACTAATATAATACTTACTCAGTTTCTGGCATTTAGAATGAACTTCATCCAGTGTTGTTGCCATATGCCTATTCTTTGTTATTATGAAATTGTAGCAACAGTTCTGAAATGGTATCCATGGAGTATTTAGAACAGGAGATGGACATTTAACACTGTCAACTGGTTTGACCTCTTTTTCAGTCTCATCTAGAAAAAGAGTTAATGGTAAGAATTCTAATTTGAGATATAAATGTTAAATCCTGTTTGCAGTCATTAGGCTTGATTTGTAGGAAATATTCAGGAAGCCAAGAAGTAATATCCTAGTGAAGCCTGTCTCTGTTTATACTCAGATACAGCACACAAAAGCCAGCTTTCTATAGGAAGGAAATTACTTGACACAATTTTCTTACCCCTGCTGTGGCGTGGAAGAATGTAAAAAGTGAGGTGCTATTAGGTTAAATGCAATTTCTGTCTTCCTGCATTACCAAATGTCAAGTACAAGGGACCACCCCTAGAGATACTGTACAAACACATTCATTATTAAAAGTCACCTAACTATAACTTTGAGAATTCGTTTTCAAGTTTCTGTCTACTGACACTATTAATTTTAAAGGAACATTTAAATGAAACACTTGATGTTCTAAGTAAGTTATTGCTTTAACTAAGTAAAACAGAAATAATATTTAAAATCTGACATCTACAGTATCTGATTATGATCTTTTTCCATTTTCTGAAAACGCCATACATTCACAAAGATACAAATATAAACATATTCCACTCAAATAAATTAAACGGATTTAATATGTGGCAGAGATCACTCAGTATCTCTCCTGGATCACAATAAGTCCCTCTGTCCATGAAGCAGTGTCTTCTTTCTACCACAAACCCACAAATGTGACCTTGACAGTTGTAAAAACACTTCCTCTGACTGGGCTAGAGATGGCACACCTGACTCAGGCTAAGTTCATGAGATTTTCTCTAAGGATTTACAAAGTGAAATTTAGAAATTGTCTCAACTCATCTCCAGTTACAGGTTCAGCTCTATCCTCGTTTTGCGGATCCTGAATTTCCCCTTGTTTTAAGCTAGCTTGAGGTGGTTGCTGTTACTTACAATCAACTGAATCTTTTTTTTTTTTTTTTTTTTGAGACGGAGTCTCATTCTGTCGCCCAGGCTGAAGTGCAGTGGTGTGATCTCGGCTCACTGCAACCTCTGCCCCTCCAGGTTTAAGCAATTCTCTGCCTCAGCCTCTGGAATAGCTGGGATTACAGGTATGTGCCACCATGCCAGGCTAATTTTTTGTATTTTTAGTAGAGAGGGGGTTGCACCATCTTGGCCAGGCTGGTCTTGAACTCCTGACCTCGTGATCCACTCGCCTTGGCCTCCCAAAGTGCTGGGATTACAGGTGTGAGCCACCGCACCCGGCCACAACCAACTGAATCTTAAGAGTGACTCATAAAAATCATGTTAGTTGTGATGTTATGAATCACAAAAGAATTCTCACAAGTGTAAGCTTTCTACAAGTATAAAGATATGCAGAAAGAGGTAGAGTAACAATGGGACTTTAAAGTGTTAATCCCCATTGTCAGCTAACGTAAAAATAAAACATGCTTAAAATAACCCATTAATAATAATATATTTAATATATAATTCTGCTTGAATACAAATTTTCACAAATGTTCCTACAAAAAGACATGACTATAATTTCTTCACAATTCCAAAACCAGATTTTACAAAACCACTCCTCAGAAATTTTACCACTTATGAGACTGTTAATAATTTAAGAATTAAAATATCTGAAATTCACGTACTTCCTGAATAGTAGCAAATAGCACCTGGTTGATTGTCATTGCAATCAGCTGTTTTCCAGAATCCATCAGTGTCTAATATTACACAGTCTTCAAGTTGCCCATTAGTTTCAGCCCAGCGACTAAAATGAAGACGTTTCCCATCTGACCAACCAAAGTTGAGTTCATCCTGTAAGGAGCAGAAATACATTTCAAGTGGCAATATTCATGTTATCCCTTTGTATTATTTTGACTCCCACGGTCAATCTAATGATTTTTATTTATTTTTTTATATTTAACATACATTTACATACCATTTACTACATGACAAGCATTATTCTAAATGCTTTATAAATATTGGCTTACTTAATCCTTATAACAACCATATAAGGGAGGTACTATTATTATCTCCATTTTAAAGACGAGGAAACTAAAGGTATGCAACTTTGCAAAGTCCCACGAATACAAACCACACTGCTGGGCCTCTCTTCCAGGCTGTCAGTCCCTAGAGTCTATGTCCTAACCATTATGCTATGCTGTCTCACACATAATTGGATCCACTGGTTATCAGAAATCAGAAAACTAAAATGGGATGAGGATCACTATCGGCACTGATTAGATCAGAGACAAACTGGTGTAGTGGAAAGAATATGGGCTACAGAGCTAAGCCCACATGGTTTTGAATCCTGATTCAGTTACTTACTAGCTTTTGTGTGCCACGTCTCCAAATTTCCATCACCCATCAATGAAACCAGTGTGACACTTAACTTCGTGGGTCTGGAATTAATGGGATAATGTGTAAAGCCTGCAACTCAGGGGCTAGCTGGCACACAGAGAGCTGGTGGTTCCCTTCCTCTGAAGTCCTCAGGCACGTGGATGTCACACTGCTGTTTTCACACTTGTTGGGGAGAGAAGCTTCTTCATTCACTAGATTCTGCTGTGTGCTAGAAGTCTGTGAACATCTGCCTTTACACCCTGCCAAGGTCCTGACCACCCATCTAGGTACAGGAGATGGACTGTGGGGTACAGGCCTGTCTGAGCTTCCCCATGGTGCTGCCAGAGCACCGGGCCTTACATACCAACTGCTGAGTCTGGTGCTGGCCTAACAGACCCACTGAGCTAAGCTTTCCTGAATCCCAAGACAATCTACATCACTAGTTTATTTGAAATATTGAACGAAGCCACACTTAGTGAACCATAAACAGCAACACAGTCAAGCTTCAACACCACTGGCTGCTTCATTCTGAAATGTTCATGACCAGAGTTCCAGCTGTAATCCTAGCCCCTAACCCTAACCCAGTCAGGGCCTAAGCCACTGTGGCCTCCGGTGTGGAGGCCGCGTGACTTTGCCTGCACTCATCCATACTGCCCTGCATTTCTTCCCCTTTGAGGCACTCCCCACCTAACCCTGTCCCTGATCCTTTGGAATTTCCATTCCATCTAAATAAATCATCCCACACCTTTTATCTTTTCATTGAATAGAAAATATTAAGACTATCAACATCTTTTCACTAAATTCTTGATCTTAATTGATCTTAATTTAACTCTGGCTAGAACGCTCACACATTGTTGGTGGGATTATAAATTAGTTCAGCCCCTGTGGAAAGTAGTTTGGAGATTTCCCAAAGAACAAAAATAGAATTACCATTCAACCCAGCAATCCCATTACTGGGTATACACCCAAAGGAAAAGAAATCATTCTGCCAAAAGACACCTGGGCTCAAATGTTTATTACAGCACTATTCACAACAGCAAAGACATGGAATCAATCTAGATGCCCATCAACAGTGGATTGGATCAAGAAAATGTAGCACACATACATGATGGCATACTGTGCAGCCATAAAAAAGAACAAAATCATGTCCTTTACAGCAACATGGATGTAGCTGGAGGACATTATCCTAAGTGAATTAATGCAGGAACAGAAAACCAAATACCACATGTTCTCACTTATATAAGTGGGAGCTAAATATTGGGTACACATGGACGTAAAGATGGGAATGATGGTGTCTGGGGACTCCAAAAGTGGGGAGGGAGTGGAGCAAGGGTTGAAAAACTACCTATTGGGTACTGTGTTCACTCTTTGGGTGACAGGTTCAACTGAAGCCCAAGCCTCGGCATCCCACGGTGTATGTATTGTAACAAACCTGCACATGTACCCCCTGAATCTTAAATAAATACATAAATCTGGCTTTTCCAAGGGAATAATCTCCTTTCAGCACCCACGGGAAGGCTATTTGATATTCTATTCTCAGATACCACAGGGGCTGTGAGAAAGGAGTAGTGGATATTTTTATCTCCTTTTATTTCCTTTGAGGATTATTCCCTTTGTATCACTGCAAACTCCCCATGACATTCACTGAGGACTTGGTCGCCGTGCTCCTCCCTGACATTCACTAAGATGTCCCAATTCTTGCTGTCCTCCCAGCCCTACCATTAACTTGGGATGCCTGTGTTCATGTTTCCAAGCCTTCTTGACTTCCTTTAATTCTATGTATTTTTACTTCTTCAAGCTGGGTACCTGAGTGACCCACTGCATGGCCACACTCTGCACTTTACATAACCCAGAGCTGCCTCCCCTCAGACACTGTAAAGGCCAACATCATTTCCTGCATGAATTTATAGAAAAATAACTGCTCTCCCTCTCTCCAGCTGCTTGCGGCCTCCCCAGCCTTCCACACAGTGTCTTCTACTTAAATGAAGTCTTATATTGTTACTACTCTGTTTAAAATCTTTCAGTATCTTATCATTGCTTTCAATGTAAAGTATTTATTAACATCCTGTCATTTTCAAAGAATTAAGGCAGCTATTAGGATATATAGTTAACCAGCTACACAGAATATGTTAAAATTAAGGGTGAAAAAGAAAAGAGAACCATAGGTAAAGGTTGGAAATAGGATAAGAAGTAAGACCCAAACCATTAAGTTGGGGGGAGTTACAAAATAGTCTGACTCCAGCTATCTAAAAAATAAATAGGTACACATAGAAAAATAACTTGAAAGATCCATACCAAAATATTGAATCATGTTTATTTTTAGGTACTGGGATTACAGGTGACTTTAATTTTGTTATTTTAATTTACTGACAAATTTTCTACATTGCAATATTGTTTTTGTCTCAAAAGATTTGGGGTGACTGAAACTAGGAAATGTAATCACTCATTGCTTCCTCACAACAGACACAATGACGCATTTCACAGAATTTCCAGCACTGAAGATAAAGCAAGTAAAGCAATGCTATGAAACAGTTGAGACTGTGAGGACTGGGTAAGCAGCCTTCCAATCTCCTGGCTTGATCTGGGTTAATTTAATTTAATTATTTAATTAATTTATTTATTTATTTAAAGATGGAGTCTCACTCTGTCGCCCAGGCTGGAATGCAATGGTGCAATCTCGGCTCACTGCAACCTCCACCTCCCAGGTTCAAGTGATTCTCCTGCCTCAGCCTTCTGAGTAGCTGGGATTACAGACACCTGCCATAATACCCAGCTAATTTTTGTATTTTTAGTAGAGACAGGGATTCACCATGTTGGCCAGACTAGTCTCAAACTCCTGACCTCAAGTGATCCACCCGCTTTGGCCTCCCAAAGTGCTGGGATTACAGCCGTGAGTCACCATGCCTGGCCAAACTGGGTTAACTTTAGAATACGCCATGACTCAGAGAGACTATTCTTTAAGCTATTCCTAAATGTTACTTTTAATTGAGCTTCTGATAACAATTCTTGTTTTTCCACCCATTCTTCAATTCAATTCTGAGTCTTCAATCACATTTTTTCCATGCAGCCCTAGATATACAGCCCTGGTATACTTTGGGATATACCATGGCTGAGAAAAGAGGTGGCCTATAAAGCCAATAGGAATACCACAGCTTTATTTAAAAATTCCTTATTTAATTATAGCCAAAACTTCAGCTGTGTAACGATTCCAGTTTGTGCTACATGTGCAGAGGTTAGTGATGGGAATTAATAGGAGACTAGCATCCTTTTTTTTTTTTTTCTTTTTTTTTTTTTGGAGAGAGTCTTGCCCAGGCTGGAGTGCAGTGGCGCGATCTTGGCTTACTGCAGCTTCTGCCTCCTAGGTCCCGGTTCAAGTAATTCTCCTGCCTCGAGACTAGCATTCTTTGTTGGGCTATGAAATGAATGAGAAGCGCCTGAGACATCTATCTAGGATCAGCACTTAAGATGGAGGAAAACATTATTCAACTTCCTTTTCAGAGTTGCTTAATTTTACTTTGCTGAATTTTTTCTTCTTAGAGACTGGGGTCTTGCTATGTAGTCCCGGCTGGATTTTAACTCCTGGGCTCAAGTGATCCTCTTGCATCCAGAGTAACTGGGACTACAGGTGTGCACCAGGTGCCCAGCAGTGCTGCTGATGTTGAAAGAGATGGAAGCTGGGTGTGGTGTTTCACGCCTCTAATCCCAACACTTTGGGAGGCTGGGGCAGGCAGATCACTTGAGGTAAAGAGTTCAAGACCAGCCTTGCCAACATGGTGAAACCCCATCTCTACTAAAAATACAAAAATTAGCCGGGCATGTTGGCACATGCCTGTAATACCAGCTACTGAGGAGGCCGAAGCATGAGAATCGCTTGAACCTTGGAGGTGGATGTTGCAGTAAGCTGAGATTGCACCACTGCACTCCAGTCTGGATGATAGAACAAGAACCTGTCTCAAAAAAAAAAAAAGATAAAGAAAAAGAAAAAAAGTGAAAGGGATGGAAAGGACTCTTTAAAACTATCCATAGTGCTTCCACACACCCAACCACATCTGATTTTTAAATTCTTCTCTTATCTTTTCATTGGCTGAAGAGATATGGCAGCTTCAGATTCTAGCTCAGTCTTTGATTAGAATTAATAAAAAGAAGTGCTCAGATATATATATATATAGTGTGTATATATATATATAGTAGA